AAACAAGCTCACAGTCCCCAGGGGGAGCCCAAGGGTCTTCACAGGCTGGTCTCAAGTCACCTTCTAGCTCCTCTTCCCCTGGTGACCCCGCCCACACTCTGGGCTCTGGCTAATGAGGATAGTCATGGCAGTCTCACTGCACTCGGATACTGATATCTTCTTCTTGCCTTGAGCACTTTGCTTTTTTAACTTAATTGACCTTTACTGGGATTCTACTGATATTATCCCAAGTATGTACTTGGGAAACAGAGACCAGGCAGCCACACAGTTCATCCAGGGCTGGACAGCGGGCAGAGGAGGCAGAGCCAAGGTCTGGATCCTGATGCCTGGGAGGCGAACCACATATTACCCTACTGCTGCCCCACCAACCTGACTGCACACTGCACTCACACGTCTGTGCCTTCCAGAGCAGGCCCGCCATCCCCTGCCCAGCCCCCTCTCCTTTCGCCCCTACCCAACTGGAGGCCTGCCTTGTTCCCTTAGTCATTTGTATTCTTCTTCGTTATGACAACAAATATTTTAAAGTCATAATTGGTTTCCATTCTGTCTCCCCACTAACAGGGGAAGCTTTTACTTTCTATAGCACCCCTCCTAAGCACAGGGCCTGGAGAGAAGATGCTCTGTACTTTCTTTCTTTCTTCCCTCCTCCTCCTCTTCCCCTCCCCCTTCCCCTCCTCCTCCTCATTCTCTCACCATTTCCCCCCTTCCTTCCTTCCTACCTACCTTTCTTTACCTTTCCTTTCTTTTCTTTCCCTCTCTCCCTCCCTTCTTCAGAGTCTCATTCTGTCAATGCTTATGGCCACCACAGCCTCTACTTGCCGGACTCAGGCAATCCTTCTGCCTCAGCCTTCCAAGTAACTAGAACCACAGGCTAATTTTTTAAATTTATTTTTATTTTTAAATTTTTTTGAGTCTGAGTCTTACTTTGTTGTCCAGGCTGGAGTGCAGTGGCACGCTCCCGGGCCACTGCAGCCTCGACCAGCAGGGCTTAGGTGATCCTTCCACCTCAGCCTTCCAAGTAGCTGGAACTACAGGCATGTGCCACCACACCCAGCTAGTTTTTTGATTTATTATAGAGATGAGGTCTCACCAAGTTGCCCAGGTTGGTCTCCAACCCGTGGGCTCAGGCAGTCCTCTCACCTGGGCCTCCTAAAGTGCTGGGATGACAGGCATGAGCCACTGTGTGGTCCCTGAGTCACACAAGGACCTGAGGCTGGGGTCATGCTACCTGGGGTGGGAGGCGGTGAGGGTGAATTGGTAAACAAGGCATAGACATTTTAAAAAAATTAAAAAAAAAGTTAGATCCTCACTGATACTCCATGAGGCATATGGAGGCAGTTCCATTAGAAGTATGAGGCGCCGGGCTCGGTGGCTCAGCCGATTAATGTAATCCCGCGCCTTTGGGAGGCTGAGGTGAGTGGATTGCCTGAGCCTGCGGGTTCGAGACCTGCCTGGGCAGCGTGACCTCATCTCTACAATAAATCAAAAAATCAGCCGGGCGTGGTAGCGCATGCCTGTAATTCCGGCTACTCGGAAGGCTGAGATGGAAGGATCTCCGGAGCCCAGCAGGTCGAGGCTGCGGTGGCCGGGAGCAGCCACTGTACTCCAATCTGGGTGACAGAGTGAGACTCCAACTCAAAAAAAAAAAAAAAAAGAAGTATGAGGCTGTTGCTGAGTGCAGTGGCTCACACGTATAATCTTAGTACTTTGGGAGACCTAGGTGAGAGGATTTCCCGAGCCCATGGGTTCGAGACCAACCTGGTCAACTTGGTGAGACCTCATCTCTACAATAAATCAAAAAAAGTAGCTGGGCATGGTGCTGTGTGCCTGTAGTTCCAGTTACTTGGAACTCTGAGGCAGAAGGATCATCTGAGCCCAGCAGGTTGAGGCTGTGGCCATGAGCGTGCCACTGCATTCCAGCCTGGGTGACAGAGTGAGACTCCAACTCAAACAAAACAAAACAAAACATATATATACATACACACACACATATATGTGTATATATATATATATATATATGAGGATATATATGTGTGTGTGTGTATATATATATATATAAAATATATATATGAGGCTGTTGATTGGATCTTTGACAGCAGAGACAGAAATAAAAGCAGCCTTGAAATATTTCTAATTTTCAACTGCAGAGCTAAAAAAAGAACTCTAAAGTCAGTTACAGTCCATTTTCTAGAAATATAGAAAAGAGGACAGGCTCAGTGGCTCAGCCTATAATCCTAGCACTTTGGGAGGCCAAGGCGAGTGGATTGTCTAAGCCTGTGGGTTCGAGACCAGCCCGGGCAACTTGGTGAGACCTTGTCTCTACAATAAATTTAAAGAAATTAGCTGAGCGTGTTAGCACATGCCTGTAGTTCCAGCTACTTGTAAGGCTGAGGCGGAAGGATCACCGGAGCCCAGTAGGTTGATGCTGGGGGGGGGCCATGAGTATGCCACTGTACTCCAGCCGGGGTGACAAAGTGAGATTCCAACTCAAAAAAGAAAAATAGAAAAGAACCACTAACTAGTAGTTCACGATGTGCCAGCCACATTCTTAGAAAGCAGAGGACAAGGTTGCCAGGGTTGAGGCTGTTGTCTGGGGGGAAAAATAAAAGGGAATACAAGAAAAGGACATGAATAGATCAGGCCCCGAGACTCTGTTACCTCTTCAGCTTCCCGTTGTGTGTAGATAGGCCCGAGACTCTGTTACCTTCTTCAGCCTGCCTGACGTGCGTAGATCAGGCCTTGAGACTCTTTCACCTCTTTGGCCTTCCCAGCGTTTGTAGATCAGGCCCTGAGACTGTCCCTCTTCGGTCTTCCCAATGTGTGTTGATCACGCCCCGAAACGCTGTTACCTTCCTCAGCCTCCCTGACGTGAGTAGATCAGACCCTGAAACTCTTGTCACCTTTTTAGCCTTCCTGACGTGGGTAGATCATGCCTCCAGACTCTTACCTCTTCAGCCTTCCCGATGTTTGTAGAGCAGGTCCTGAGAGTCTGTTACCTTCTTCAGTCTTCCTGATGTATAGGTCAAGCTTCAAGACTCTGTTACCTTTCTCAGCCTTCCCAACGTGAGTAGATTAGGTCCTGAGATTCTCACACCTCTTTAGCCTTCCTGATGTGTGTAGATCAAGCCTCGAGACTTATTTCTTCAGCCTTCCCAGCATGTGTGGATTAAGCTCCGAGACTTTATGTTCTTCAACCTTCCCGACATGCCTCGAGACTCTTACCTCTTCAGCCTTCCTGACATGTAGATCAGATCCTGAGATTATGTCACCTCTTTAACCTCCCCCACATATGTAGATCAAGCCCTGAGACCCTGTTACCTTCCTCAGCCTTCCCGACGTGTAGATCAGCCCTCGAGACCCTGTTACCTCTTCAGTCTTCCCAACACTCCCGTGTCGGGTGGGTAGGTTCCTGTATTGGAGAGGAGGTGGATGTTCACAAGGATTCCAGCCAAGCTCTGACACCTCTTACCCAACCTCCACCCTCGGCTCCCCCACAGGCATGTGCCCATGAGTTGGCCTTGTTCCAGAACCTCCTTTCTCCCACCTAGCCCCCTTGGCACCCCAGACCCAAGAACCACTGTCTCCTTGAGCCCCTGAAGCTCTCAACCCCACTACCCTCCACAGTATGGCAAGATTTTTGGAACTCAAGAACCGCCTTGTGTTTTCCTAATTCACCTGCCTTGGGGGAGAGAAGGGTGGCGATTGGGCACAAGGTGTCTTGAGTGCCATGTTGAGAGGTTTGACCTTGAGCCTGTGGTAACTTCCTAGCAAAAGCCATAGATACCTCATTACTATCTGTTGGTCAGATCCCTAGCCCCTTATCAGAAATCCTGGCACTGAGTCAGTTTCAGGATTCACATTTTTCTCGTCTTTAGCATGGTAATATCACAGCTCGGCTGTCTGATGCCAGAGCCTGTCACAGGCTGCACAGGACATGGCTCTGGGAGCTAATGGCTTTAGATCAGTGCAGCTTGCAGCTTGCAGCAGCCAGCACCCTGCTTCTGTTTCTGCAGAATCTTTGCAGCTGTCCATACAGAGGCCTAGGAGCTAATCTTTACCCCAGAAGTGACAGCTCAGAGTTAAATGGATGTGATCCCCTTGGGTGCTCTGGCTAAGTAAAGCCTCATTTTCCTCAGAGGCTGGTTTCTCCTGTAAGAATGTCATAGACAGGCCTGGCATGGTGACTCAGGCCTGTAATCTCTGCACTTTGGGAGGCTGAGGTGAGAGGATTGCCTGAGCCCAGGGGTTTGAGACCAACCTGGGCAACTTGGTGAGACCTCATCTCTACAATAAATAAAAAATTAGCCAGGCGTGGTAGCACTTGCCTGTGGTTCCAGCTACTTAGAAGACTGAGGTGGAAGGATCACCTAAACCCAGCAGGTCGAGGCTGTAGTGTTCATGAGCATGCCACTGTACTCCAGCCAACTCCAACTCAAAAAAAAAAAAAAAAAAGTCATAGAGCTGCCAGGATCCACACAAAACCTCAGCCCACCCTGGGGAATCCCAAGCCATGGGTTCCCCAATTACAGTTCCTCCTGGCCAAAGAACCGTGACTTTTCTGGGGCATTTTACCATAAGCCTGGTTACCTCTGTAGCTGTCCATCACCTTTATCCGGTCTCCAGGGTAAAGACTTCGTAACATAGCTCTCCACCCACATCCACACTTATCCTCCAACAAGATGGCATCCCATACTCAGACGCCAATTAAATTTTGCAGCAAAATGCAGCCATCAAAATGCTTCAGCTGGATAAAGACTAAAACAACCTCATGCTGCCTCTGGTTGGGTTTGATACCCAAAGAGTTAAAAAGCAAATTGAAAATCTTTTAGAGTTAAGAGGTTTCAGAGTTTGGTGTGATTGGAAAGGGGATCACTGGCCTGTGGGTTCCCCTTTTCTTGGGAAATTCCAAGACCTGGGAGGAGTGCAACATCTCAACCTGCCCACTAGAGGGCCCCTGGTTACTGCTGTGTGCAGGACCTGTGCTAACGGAGGTCTCTGTCATGCAGCTTTCAGATGTCAGCAGCTTACCCAGCCTGAAAGAACTTCTTCAGCCCTCTGCAGACAAGGACACACGGGCCTGGGACCTCGTGAGCTGGATTTTATCCTCCAAGGTCCTGACCATCCACAGTGCGGGAAAGGCAGAGGTAAGACTTGAGTCTGTAGGATCATGGACTCCTAGGGCTGAAGGGCTCCAGGATAGCCCTGAGCCCAGTGACCCTGAGGTACCCTCTTGTGCACCAGCATACCTGCAGCTTGTTGACAGATTCCTGGACCTTGGTCTCAGATTCTGGTTCTGTGTCTAGAGTCAGGCCCAGGGACTTATCCACAGACAGTGCAAAGTTTTTTTTACCGTGAGCAGCTGACTCAGTATCTCAGTCTGTTTCAGTATCTCAGTTTCCTCATCTGTAAAATGGGATGATAATAGTATATTTCCACCAGGGAACTAACTAGCTGTGAGAATTGAATCAATATTCACACTTAAAATAACACCTCACTGGTGTAGTGGCTCATGCCTGTAATCCCAGTACTTTGGGAGGCTGAGGTGGGAGGATTGCTTGAGTCCAGGAGTTTGAGACCAGCCAGGGAAGCATAGAGAGACCTCATCTCTACAAAAACCAAATACTTTTTTTTTTTAGCTGGAGTCTCACTCTGTGACCCAGACTGGAGTGCAGTAGCATACTCATGGCCACCACAGCCTCGATCTGCTGGGCTCAGGCAATTCTTCTGCCTCAGCCTTCCAAGTAGAACTACAGATGCTTTTTTTTTTGAGTTGGAGTCTCACTCGTGTTGCCCAGGTTGGAGTGCAGTGGCATGCTCACGGCCACTGTAGCCTTGACCTGCTGGGCTTAGGTGATCCTTCCGCCTCAGCCTTCCAAGTAGCTGGAACTACAGATGCATGTCACCATGCCCAGCCAGTTTTATTTATTTATTTTTGAGTTGGAGTTTCACTCTTCACCCAGGCTGGAGTGCAGTGGCACACTCACAGCCACCCCGGCGTCGACCTGCTGGGCTTAGGCTGTCCTTCTGCCTCAGCCCTCCAAGTAGTCGGAACTACAGGGGCAAACTACCATGCCCCAGCTAACTTTTGATTTATCGTAGAGATGAGGTCTCGTCAAGTTGCCCCGGCTAGTGTCAAACCCACAGGCTCAGGCAATCCACTCAGCTTGGCCTCCCAAAGTGCTGGGATTACAGGTTGAGTCACCGAGCCCGGCTCCGGCTAGTTTTTGTGGTTTATTGAGGCGAGCTCTCACCAAGTTGCCCAGGCTGGTCTTGAACCCCTGGGCGGTTCTCTTGCCTCGACCTCCCAAAGTACTGGGATTACCAGCTGAGCCACTGTGCCCGGCCACAAATAAATTTTTTTTAAAAAGCCTAAGGGCATGTACTAAGGGCTCAGTTGAGTATTACGCCACAGGTGATTCTGATAAGCATGACCCTGACCACATCTTAGGACACACTGGGGTCTAGTTGTCAGAAAACAGAGAGGCGGAGCCCAAAGTGGTGGAAAACCTTTTATTCTGGGTTCAAATCCCATTTTCATCAATTATTGGGTTTTTCCTTTTCCACATTTGTAAATTGAGAATTTTTTTTTTTTTTTTTAAATTAGAGTCTTACCTGTCACCCAGGCTGGAGTGAAGTGGCATGATCACAGCTCATCATAGCCTAAACTGAGAATATTAGTAGTTACCTTGAAGGGGGGTTATAATGAATGTGTGTCACTCTCAGCACGGTTTCTGATTCAAGCCAGACGTTCTGTAATTTGGTTGGCCTTGCCTTGCTGGTCTCCAGGGCAGGCTGGGGTGGCGGGGACCAGAGGGTGGGACTTGGTCTCAATTGGGTGCTCCTCCCTGTGATTGGCGGCAGGGGTTTCTCTATACTACTCTTCACTTAGTTAGTCAAGCTCAACCAAAGAGCCTTCTCTTTTACAGGCTCCTGCTAAAGACACAAATCTTCCCTAAGTGATGTAGAATTTGGTGCCTTGGATTCTGGTATCTAAGGGACATCCATCTATGTTGGATTTAAAGTTACAGAAAGAGCTCTGGAGTGGGAGTCAGGCGGTGGGCGGCTAACTCCTAAACAGTCTCTGGACTTCATGTTTGTCATTTGTTGAAGCGTATTCATTCATTCACTTATTCTTCCCTTACGTGGGCATCAAGCATCTCCTAGATGTTGAGTGTTGTAGCTAAAGTGACTAAGGCAGTGGCTCTGTGACTTCTGATTATAGACCTGTTAAATCTCTTATTAAAATGTGGACTGTTGAGACCCAGGATTGTCAGCTTTTTATTTTGCCCAAGTAGGTATGCTAACCTCCCACAAGTTGCCGTTTTGTAAAAGGTTATTTTAATACTGAAAAAGGAGGTTGGTCTTGACCTCAGAACAGAGGACTTCTCTTCCAGAGGAAGGATCATGGCTACCTTACATCAATAGAAATATGTCTGTTTCATTGCCCTTATTCGTCTCATTCAATCATAATCCAGAGAAAACCTAGCCACAGACTGGCTTTGGTCTGTGGCCTTGTTGTTTGAAAACCGCTCTAATGATGTATTCTCTGAAGATGATTGTGGTCCTTGAGGAAGATGCTTACCCTTTGGTATCAACTGGCTTTTGCTGAGTAACCACCCTGTGAATTCAGTGACTTAGATGACAAATGCTGACTGCCCTCCTGATCCTGGGGTTGGATTGGTGGTTGTGGGCGGGACTTGCAAGCCAGGGACTGGATGCGCTAGGGTAACCTCCAGGGCATCTTCCTCCAGTAGGGGTGCCCTGGGATAGGGTTGAGGGGTTCTCAGCAGCAGACAAGGAGGGGCAAGACAAACTCTTCTCAAGCCTCTGTTGCTATGTGTGTGCTGATGTCCCATTGGTAGAAGCAAGTCACAGCCAAGCTAGATTTGTGGGTGGAGAAACAGGTTCCATCTCTTGATAGAATCTTGGTAGAATCTCACCTGCAAAATTTTTCTGCAGAGAGGTGTGTGCACAGGGACGAGAAGGAAAATTTGTGGCCATTTTTGTAGTTTATCCTACTTTTATGCCTCATGAGATTATTGTAAAGATGAATTGTAGGAAATAAATTTGAAAGTCTTAGGAAAATTAGAAGTGATCTCCAGTTAGAGGGGAACAATTCACATTTCTCAGTTAGCCTATTGTAGGGAAAATTTTAATTAGAGGAAAACAGTCTTGAGCTATAAGCTCTGAATTTGCTTATAAATTAATGTCTCTGGCCTCATGAAACCTGCTGTTCTCATGAGCAGAACCCATGGGGTTAAGCCCAAGACTTCAGGAGACCATTTTTGCAGCATCTTTTTCCAGCTTCCCAAATAAAACTGCAACTCCCTTTATGTTTCCAAGTTTGAAAAGATCCAAAGGCTGACTGGTGCCCCTCACACGACTGTACCAGCACCGGACTTCCTGTTTGAAATTGAGTACTTCGACCCCGCCAACACCAAATTTTATGAGACCAGAGGAGAACACGACCTGATCTATGCCTTCCATGGTAGCCGCCTGGAAAACTTCCATTCCATCATCCATAATGGCCTGCACTGCCACCTGAACAAGGTGAGCCTTGGGTATTCTGTTCCCCTGTGGAGTTGGGGGACTTGGAACCCGAGGGTGTCTGCAGAGGGTTAGAATTGGGGCCTGCAGGTTTGCTAAACCTTGTTGTTAGACCCACAGTGGCAGCATCACCTGTGAAGATGCAGAACCTTGGGTCTACTCTAGACCTTCTGAATGAAGACTTGTTTAACAGGCTCTCCAGGTGATCCTGTGCTGGCAATAGTTTGAGAAGTACCAATTTAAAGATGGTTCTTGCCTGGGTGCAGTGACTCACACCTGTAATCCCAGTACTTGGGAGGCCAATGCAGAGAATATCTTGAACCCAGGATTCGAGACCAGCCTAGGCAACATAATGAGACCTTGTCTCCACTAAAAAAAAAAAAAAAAAACCAGGTGTAGTGGCACACACACACCTGTAGTACCAGCTACTCGGGAGGCTGAGGTAGAAGGATCGCTTGAGCCCAGGGGGTTGAGGCTGTGGTAAACTGATCATGTCACTATACTCCAGCCTTGGTGACAGAGTGAGACCCTGACTCAAAAAAAAAAAAAAATGTTCATGCATGCAGGGGGCTTTTCATGTGCTGCAATCCAAGGATGTGGTAGCTGCCTCTGTAGGTGGGTGGAAGACAACCAGGACTGGAGGGACTGCAGGCCTTGTCCCCATGTGTGGCAGCATCTACCTTGTCTGTGAGGGGCCAGCATGAGCTGCTGGCTGTAGTGGGCCTGAGACTAGAGATGTTCTTAGCCCTGCGGCATTTGAAGAGTGCCATCAGGTTTGCTGAGGATGACAGGCTTGTTTACACTGGCTTTCAGTCCGTGCTGGCTCTCTGTCCACATACTGGCTTTCCACTTACCAAGATCCAGGGGGCTTCCACCTTACCCTGGAGCTAGCCTGGAGCAGTCACCTGCAGATTCGTATTGTACACCAAGCTTTCATTTCAGTGTCCAGGGAATTTGCTGCTTAGAGGTATCTTACAAGATTCCTTTGGTAAATCACATCAGTCCTCTGTCCTCCTTCTGCCCAGGTCTTCAGGGAAGGGCTTGCTGGGGAGAGCCCATCGGCCATTGACTCTGCAAGTCTGTTTTTATGACACATCACAGGCATTCTGCCCTTGGGCATCTTGCACAAGCTCCTCAAGTCTAGGGAAGGGTGAACACACAGCAGGCATGAGTGGAGAATGCATGTGGGTCAGATCAGAAGGCGCCCAGTGTCCCTGGAGAAGACCTGTGTTAACTTTCAAGAGTCGGGGACACTGCCTTACCTGGCAAGGAGCTTCCTAAAGCCAAGCAGAAGTTTGTTTCATTTCCCCTAAGCCTCATGTCACAGGATGCCTGGTGCCTCCACAAGGACATTCTCCATCCCGGAGCAGAGGATGCTCTGCATGAGCTCTTTGACTCCATTCTCCATCTTGCATTGCCGATGGCATGGCCAGGGCCAGCAACTGAGTTTCAGCTTGTGTGTTAAAGTTCATTCGTTCCTAGCAGCTACATGGGATGTGAGGTTGAGAAGAATTCTGAGTCATTAGGAATATGTGCCATGATTGTCATGACTTTCCTGGCTGTCATGGCTGGTTGCTGATGGCTGTCATGGCTGGTTGCTGATACCTGTCATGGGCAAAGATGTGTTGGTCATGCCTGCTGTAGCCTCGATTTGTAGGCACTTCATCTGGTCTGCTTCCTCACCCACCACAGGGAGATGCCGCCCAGAATTTTAGACACTTTCTTGGTTAACACTAATACAAAGAGTAAAATGTACCCTGCCCCTCATGTAGGCCTTCCTCATTTGGTTACAGTTTTTGGTCTGAGAGACTCATTTCTTTTCCAAGTGATGACTTAGTACCTCCCCCTCCAGTACACTGCCCTCGAAGTACATAAGGGCATGACTTTGCTTATCAGTGTAATCATGCTCAGTGCATTTGTGTAACAAGAATTACTATATATGTATGGATATTACAGCATGAGTGCCTGCAGGGAGCATACACCCTTGATTATTTTTATTTTATTTTATTTTTTTTGAGTTGGAGTCTCACTCTGTCGCCCAGGCTGGAGTGCAGTGGCCGCTCCTGGCCACCGCAGCCTCGACCTGCTGGGCTCCGGTGATCTTTCCGCCTCAGCCTTCCGGGTAGCCGGAATTACAGGCATGCGCTACCACGCCCGGCTGATTTTTTGATTGATTGTAGAGATGAGGTCTCGCTGCCCAGGCGGATCTCGAAGCCGCGGGCTCAGGCAATCCACTCACCTCAGCCTCCCAAAGGCGTGGGATTACAGGCTGAGCCACCGAGCCCGGCTCAAAAATCCTCTTTCAGTTGGCTCCATTTTTCAGTTTTTTTCTCTATTCTCATATAGAGTCTTACCCTGTGGTGGTAACCCCTTTTTGCTGCCCTCTGGGTTTGTGTAGAGAGTTGTGTTTTCACATTAGCTGATAGTACTTGAAGGTACTTTGCTAATAGCAGGTATCCTAGGAGCTCTGCATCAGGTGGCCCCATCTTGAGGGGCCATATACTTCAGATTATAATGTCTTCATTATTAAGTCTGTATAAAATAATTTGGAGAGCCGGGCTCGGTGGCTCAGCCTGTAATCCCGTGCCTTTGGGAGGCTGAGGTGAGTGGATTGCCTGAGCCCGCA